CCCTCCCCCCCCCCCCCTGCCCTGCAAGCAGCTTGTGGTGCTTCAAAGTGCCACATGCTCCTGGCAAGGGAGGAGGAATCGTCACTCTCTCCCCCGCCTCCACCCCCTAATTGGCCTAGGGGCGGGGAAGCAGCAGGGCCTCTGCGGGCCAGATCCACCTGCTTGGCCACCCGCAGGCTGGCCAGCTTGATCAGCAGAATAGAACTCCCCACACTGCTACCTTCATCCCGCCTCCATAACTGAAAAAGTGCCACATGCTCCTGGCAAGGGAGGAGGAATCGTCACTCTCTCCCCCGCCTCCACCCCCTAATTGGCCTAGGGGCGGGGAAGCAGCAGGGCCTCTGCGGGCCAGATCCACCTGCTTGGCCACCCGCAGGCTGGCCAGCTTGATCAGCAGAATAGAACTCCCCACACTGCTACCTTCATCCCGCCTCCATAACTGAAACACACCAGGGGTCTCATGCTTCTCAGCTGGCATCACAGTTCTGCGTGTACATTTCAGATGCAGAATAAAATACACCAGGGCTGTAAAAAAGCCCCGAGCACCAGACGGCCCTATAGAAAGAGGAAGATAACTGCTGGCAAGACGTAACCTGCAGGTGTACATGGGGCTTGGGAAGCCTGCAATTCACAACCTCCCCCGGCCTTCTGTAATCACTCGAACACATCTTCAACCCTAGCTAAAAGCCAGGAAAGGCTGTGGTCTGAGAAGCTGATCTCAGAGCTTCGAGTACATAAACATTCCAATCTGAACAGTTCACTTACATGTTTCCAAGGCACTTCAACCTAAACAGCCCGGTGATGAATTATCAACCTCTTAAATGCAATCAGATCACAACAGAGTACCAGAGAAGACAGGAGAGAGGAGGGGAGGGGAAGAGAGGAGAGGAAATGAATCATTAGTTTCCCACATCATCAAATAATGTGCTGCAAACCCTTCCCTGGCTCCACAGATATTTATGACATTCATTTGGGCCAGTGGAGAACAAAAAACCGCAATGGAAGTACAGCAGAATGGAGCCTCAATGTTAATACAATTCAGAATTCCACTACTTCTCATACTGTATGCTAGTTCTTTTCCAATGCAAACCAATGGATCCAGAATAAACCTCAACGCAAATGCTGCTGTATACTGAACCACCTCCTTGTTTTATCGGAGTAATACTCAAGTCTCCGCTGAAATTGGGCTCCCATTGTACAAGGCGCTGTCGGCTGGAGATGCAGAATACTCTGTATTAAGAAACACCACCAGCCCTGAGGAGTTTACCGTCTAGCAGACAAAACAGATGAAGGGTTATGGGAAAAGGAAACACCTTCCAGCCAGAGTGAACTGGGTGATCTAGATTTGCAGATATTTTCCAACACTCTAGCTATGGGTTCTAGTCATAAAGACATTTAGGTTTGAATGTCAATATCTAGATCTCTCTTCCGGAACCTACGCCCATACTAGATCTTGATTCTCTCTATATTATTGTGTTTTGAAAGACTTGATAAGGCTATAAAGATTTACTTCTTATTTGATAAAGTCCTCTAGGTCACCAATATCTACACAAGTAGATACACAGATTCAAAATGATTTAAAAATAACTATCAGGACCTCCAGAAACACAATGCTCTGTGCTACCCCTGATAGCACCCGTTTCTTAACGCACACTATTCCCAGGGCTAAGCTAGATGTCATCAATGATGCTGATGCACAAACCCAATGGATTTGGCCCCAAAAGCGGCTAAGACTTTACTGAATGCAAGCCAGCCATGTTAAATTGAGCCTGGTTCTCAAAAGACAGAAAGTAAATCCACGTTTGTGAAGCTTAAAGGGATCTTCGCAGGGATCAGATGCTTCTCAAGCATCGGAGAGGGTGTTACTTTCTGTAACTTTTTTGTGGTTAGCAACTGGCCAGCTGGCTGTAAGTAGCTGCTCACACTTTACTGGTTTGTCATGTACTTGTCATATTCAACAGACTCTCCTCTTGGCACTACACCTGCTGCAGCTTTCCTTTTGGGGGCTCACAGGGAGCAGTCCCTACATTGTGCCGAACCAACCATACGGTTATTCATACAGCACCAACAGTCTACAGCGTTTACATGTTCCGTACATCTACGGTGCTGTATGAATAACCGTAGAGCAACCCAAGGTTCCGGGGCTACCAGGTCAAGGGAGAAAGAGGGACTGAGCTTGAGAATTAAAATCAGGTCATTTCTGTGGCAGTGCTGGGCATTAAGCACAGACCCACCAGCTCCAACTCAATTATGCACAAATTCCAAGCAAAGCAAGACAAAATCAGTCACAGTGACAGAGTTGCTGGGCAGGGCTTAGAACCAGCTGTAACAGAAGCCGAAAGCTGGTCAATTTCACACTGCTTACTGTAAGCAGAGAATATTTTGCACAGCTCTGCTCACCTGCCTCAATGCAGCCTCTGCAAAATTTAACCAACTCAGACTGGTGAGGACCTCTGTCCTAAAGATAATAAATTAATCCCCTGACAAACAGCTGTTTAAGTCCTGCCTATTAGTTGGGCTATAATTTATATGCAGCATGAGACCCAAATGAAGAAACAAGGCAACTGCTCTTAAGACGACTGGAACATGCTGTCATACAAACCCAGTTATGAAAAGCTTGAATGGCAAATTAGTGGTCTCTAAGCACTAACCATATTAATCTGGATGTCTGTATCAGAAAGTACATGGATGCGCTGTTCAAAGCCAGAGCAGTTTGATCCGATGATTCTCCTGTGCATTGGGAAAGCTGATTGGAAATGAAAAACGCAGGCACTGAAGAATGATTGCCAAGAATTACCACCATTCCCATGGCAATGGGCTCTTTCAATCAAGCTCAGCTTCCCAAAGCATCTCAGACACTTCTAAGAGAAAGTGTAATGGCTCATTTACGGCAGGTCTGACCTGAAAGTACATAACCTTGATAGGAAACTGGGCTGGTTTTTTGTCATGTTCTGCTTATTTTTGTAATTCAAATTCCCTCTGATTCTCTCCCCTTGAAGAACAGGATATATGTTCTGTTTTGTTAAGAGTTAAAGGTAATAAAGGCATCAGTAAGTGCTACACAGCCTCAGCTTTTAACTTGACAACTATCCAAACTTAGAAATAGCCTCCTGATGGCTGAAAACTCTGTTACAATCACTGTGAAACATCTGGAAATACAAAGACAGCAAAGAGATTCCATCAGGACTCTGTTCCATGCTAGAGAGATGGATGGGCACTACAGAAAAACTAAGCATTTGACACAGTACCGTAACAGATTCAGAGATGTAAGACCAGAAGGACCCACTATGGTCACCTCATCTGACTTCCTGCAATACATGGAGGAAGTATTTTACCCAGAGGGGTAGCCCTGTCAGTCTGGATCCGCAAAAACAATCAGGAGTCCTGGGGCAACTTAGAGAAAATAGATTTAAACACACACAAACCTACAGGGCAACACTTTAACCTACTGGACATGCAGTAATGAATTTGAAAGTAGCTATCTTTCGACAGAAAAAACCTTCAAAACCCGATTACAAAGGGAAAATTAGGACTGATAAAGATTTTAACTGGTTAACCCATTACGAAGGCAATTTCCCCTCTCTTGATAGTCACATCTCCCCATCAGATGCTGTGAATGAGCCACATCCAACTTGACTTGATTAGCGTCATTAACTCTGGTCCTGCACTTGATAAGTAACTTTTTTCTTTTGTTGTATTTATGTACATACCCCTGCCTATGTCATTTCCGCTCCAGTTCATCTGATGAAGTGGGTTTTAGCCACGAAAGCTTATGCCCTAATAAATCTGTTAGTCTCTAAGGTGCCACAGGACTCCTCGGTATTTTACCCAGCGATTCCTTCATCAAGTCGGAATCCTATGGTTGTGCTAGAGCTTTCAGAAATATTTCCAATCTTGATTTAAAGATGTTAGTGATGGGAGAATGCACCACATCCCTTGGGAAACAGCTCCAATGGTTCCATTAACCTCACGGTGAAATCTCTGGAATTTTAATTAGTTCAGCCTTTGGACAATACCTTTCACGCACAAATGAAGGCGACAGAGATGACAGGTCCTCAGACT